TTTACAGGTGTTCTTTGGTGGTGTTAGGCCCTTACTGGCTAGTATCAGAACTTTGTTTCTGGTCTGTAGGTATTTTGTTTTTTCTTTCACTTCCGTGTTGGATTATTAGCTACCCCCACCACTTAAAGTCTGCACTGGAACTAATTTGTTGTCCTTTGCTTACTTCTAAAAGGGGGAGCTTCCTGTGGGAACCAGCACTTGAACCCTGTGGTTGAGCTAAGTTGCTGCTTTGCTGCTGATTCTCTGTGGAAGGCTTTTTGTGCAGCTCAGGTTTTAATTGTTCACCTTGTAAGCATTTCCAGGTCTTGTGAGGTCCAGTACACCTGAGTTGTGTAGAAACTCTGGTCTGGGCCTGTGTCTTTTCAGTAAAACGCACCCCCTGCATTTCTATATTCCTGATCAGTCTACACTGAGTGGGCCTGTGCTAACTGGAGGGCAGATCAGCTGACCATGCTGTGCCCCAGTGTTCCACCAGTGGGCCTGTCTCCCCCATTCCCTGCACTCCATACACTTCCCATGAGGCAGGCCATGAGCCTGTCCCTTGCAATGACTCACTGGCCTCTGAGTGGCTCCTTTTTTCAGTTGTCTGTGACCTCTCACTCTTATGTGGGTCCAAAGGAACACCATTAGTGGTATAGCTGGCCTTGGGGCCACCAAGGCCCTCTTCTCCCCTGCAGACTCCAAGCAACTTCATACGAAGGGCACAGCTGCAGCTTTTGCCTGCTCCTGCTCCATGTGCTCACCAGGGCCAGCCTTGAAGTGGTTGGGGCTTGAAATGGTCAGAGTGGTCCTTTCTTTTTCTCATCGTGGCTTCTCCTGCCTTCATGAACTCCATAGGTCTCTCCTCCTCTTCCCCTAAGCTCTAGCAGCCCCAGCTTGGCATTCATTGCTTTTTAATAGTTGTAAATTGGTTGACTGTGGGAGAGAGTGATGCTGGGGACCATCTATTCCACCATCTTGATTGGAAGTTCTTGCAACCTATTCTTGTGAGCAGATTTTTTTGCGGGGGGACACCTGGTTCAGAACTCTAGGAAGGAAAGAGGGATTTAAAATTACTGAGCTCCTACTCTGGGTCATGAACTATTTTGGATCCACTGGACCAGTCCCAAGGAAAGGAGAACAGTGACACAGCAGCCCCCAAGGGGAACGCCGCCAACCTCATTACTGAGCCTGGAGCCAGCCCTGTGGGTGTGTGTGCGCACGTGTGTGTGTGAGGGAGAGATTGTATTTGTTTCATAGGGCTGCCATAACAAATTACCACAGACTCAGTAGCTTAAAACAACAGAAATGTATTTTCTCAAGTTCTGGGGGCCAGAAGTGTAAAATCAAGGTGTTGGCGAGGTTGGTTCCTTCCAGAGGCTCTGAGGGGGGTCTGTGCCATGCCTCCCTCCCAGCTCCTGGTGGCTGCCAGCAATCCTCGGAGTTCCCTGGCTTGTAGCTGCATCACTCCAATCTCTGCCTCCATCATCACATCACCATCTCCCCTCTGTGTGTCTCCGTGTCTCTGTCTCCAGATCTCTGTCTCCTTATAAGGACAACAGTCATTGGATTTAGGATCCACTCTAATCCAGTAAGATCTCATCTTACCTTGATTACATCTACAAAAAATTTATTTCCAACAAAAGTCACTTTCCCAGGTACCAGGGGTTATCTTTTGGGACTACACAATTCAACCAACAACTGCAATTATGACTGCATGTTTGTGTGTGTAAGATTGTGGTGTGTATGAGTGTCTGCGTGGGTGTGTATAATTGTGTCTAAGTGTGAGGGAGTACTGAGAGTGTTATATGCATGAGAACAAATCTGTGTTGGTGTTACTGGTTGTGCTTTCATGGCTGTGGACATATGTGTATGTATGCTCCCGTGTCCATGGCTCAGGGCCCCTACTGGGTGGGCTGAGAAGGGTGGCAAGGCAGGATGGTGGCAGCAGGATGAAAAGATGCTTGGGGCCAGCCAGGTGAGCAGGCAGGGCCTTGCCTCCGGAATCTGGGGGACTAGCTGGTAGAGGCCAAGGCTGAGAAACAAGGACAAGCATGTTTGTTCAGCTAAGGTGCAGTCTTGTAGGCCCAGGTGGTAGCTCCCACAGCAGTGCCCGTCCCTAGGCCCCTTCCAGGAACGTTCCTAGAAGGCCCCTCCACCCAAGCTCACATCCTGTGCACCCCATTTGCTGGACAGGGAGGTGCTGGCTGACTCATCCCCTCCCAGGCCTGAAAGCCAGCACTCAGCTACCTGGTGCCAGCCAGGTAGGGGCAGGGCAGGTAGCTGGCCCCTCCCTGGCCCCATCCCAGAACAATACAAGTAGCACTCAATCACACCTCCCACATCCTGCCATGCCTCTCAACCTGCCTCCTGCACCTTGGCTGGGGCTAGACCCCAGGAATCAAAGAAACACAGGGCTGAGCACATGGTCAATCAGATAAGGCCCAGGACAAGGGCTCCTTATCTCCTAGAGCAGCTCTCTTAGGCAAACCCACCACGAAGTGACAGGATATCGAGATGGTCTCTGCAACAATAATGTTAGCTCAGGACCTGTTCTGTGCTGGATTTTCTTATTAAAACATCACAGCCAAGTTTAAATGTTGTTCTCATTATCCACATTTTACAGATGCAATCACTGAGTCCCCAAGGAGTTAAGTGTTCGGCCTAAGATGACACACATTTGTTTACATTTGCAGGAATTTTTTTATTCTTTCTGGAAATCCACATGTCCACCCCCACCCCAGATTCAGACCATAGCTGCTCCCACCTCAGCCCACCTGCCCACTCCCCACACACCCTTGAAGTGCAGTCTTCCTCCCAACCCTTCCCCAGAAAGACCTCCTGGCCTATGGGGTGGGGGCTGTTGTGATGGTTTCTCCTCCCCTCCCACCCTCCTGGGTCCCACTGTGGGGTCCTTGTTTTGTTTTTGGTGTGGAGCAAGTTTATTTTTCTTTTGAGTATGTGCATGGGTTTGTGTGCACACGTCTGGAGGAGTGTCTGGGCATAAAGGTGCACCTCCAGGTGGGTTTACTTACCCACCTGGGACACATACACATATGGCTGCAGTGGGACATACATCACACAGGTTGTATCTGTGTGTGTGCTTTGGCACAGGTGTGTCAGCCCCGTGGTGCTCATGAAGAGCCTGCCTCCTACATGTTTGGGTGTCTGCAGAGTGACTCCCCACATCTCCCCCCTTCTTAGATAACTGCCACCATCCTCAGTTCACAGACTCCTGAGTCCCAGGTAAGGGTCTGGTGAAAACCGCCTGTGACTGGGGACAGAGACACCTGAGTCTCAAGCCCCGCCTGAGCTGCGGTGCCCTTGAGCCGGCATCACCCCACCCAGGCAGCGGGAGTGTCCTCACCCAATGGGATGGGGTGACACGGGGGAGGAGGCGGCAGCGCGGCTTCTAGATGCGAGGCTCATTACCCAGCACTCAGAAGGTTGTGGGGAGGGGTGTCGAGCCAGGGCTTGGCACTGACTACAAAGGTTGGGGGGCGCCCCCCAGCACTCCAGCCAGTGGCTGGCTGGGGGAGGGGCTGTGACGTTCGGTGGCCTCATGTGGCTGGGAGGAAGTAGCTAATTGCCGACCTGATGACTGGTGGCCTGAGGAGTGGGGTGATGATGCCACTGGTGGAAGCAGGCGTCAGGGCCCGAGGAGGGGGCCCTTCGGCGATGGGGTGGGCCTGTACTCTGCAGAAGGGGAGGCTGAGGTGGCCGTAGCCAAAGGAGAAGGGGGTAAGGGTTTGTTGAGGCTGTGACCGTGGGAAAAGGCTGTCCCTGGGCTTCCCTCAGCTTCAAGGGAAAAGAGTTCAGAGGCCCTGAGGGGATGAGGAGATTTGGGAAGGGGCTTGAGGGGGCAGGGGGTGGGGTGGGGAAGATGGCAGCAGAGTGTTCCTCAATGCTCCACCCCCTCCTACACTGCCCCCACCTTCCCATCTCCCCCCC